AGTGGCCGCCGCTGCCTTCCTCGCGGCCGCCCACCAGAACTGTCCCGTCTCGGCCACCGGCCACGTGGCCGCCCACCGGAACAGTCTTTGTTTTGGACTCCATGAACGTAGTTGTCAGAGACCAAGCAGTAAGACATAGAAGATGCAGGTGTTAAATTCAAAACTGGGGTTTTATGACCCAAAAATAGGAATGATAATTAACAAAGCCAAAACTTAAACAGGCAGACCAATAAAATAGGTCAACTAAATAAACTAAACTCAAAATAACAACTAACAAAACCTCAAACAAACACAAGACAAACTGACCTGCTAAAATGACACATGAGGGAACTTAAATACTGGCTTAGCAAAATCATATCACACACAGGGAAAACAAAATTGCTGCCATATAACCAACTAACACAAAACAATTTAACAAGCTCCAAACACCCTCCAGGCAATGAAGCATGTGGTTTAGCCCAGTGAGGTTTTCGGCAGTACTTCAGATCCCCAAGCCCTTTGCCACACCTTTTGCCAACTGGGAAGGAGAAGCCAAGCCCCCAGGTAACTCAAACAAAGAAAGGTGTATCAATATAACATAAAACAGAACTTTGACATTGCAGTGTTGATATAAACTAAACTCAAAAAATCAACTAAAATAACAACTCCATATATGGAGTGCACATAACACATCTCACACATCAACATCACACATATCAAAACATGATGAAAAAAAATAAATTTAATAAAGAAACATATTTGACAATTAGTAAAATATATTTAAAGTAGTGACTGCAAAGTAAACTAAAGTGAAGCAACTAGTGGTGAGAGCTTACCATGTGTGGCTTGTCATCACAGTAGTATTTTCAAAATATGTTTTAAAAAAGTGTTGATATAAAAAAAAATCAGTTACTTGTACTCTAACATGGTATAGTTATATATAATAATGCCAAATAACAAAGCCCAGATGTCAGTCTCTCTCTCTGTGTGTTCAAAGTGTTTGACCTTAGCTGTTCGTCTGATATACTCAATTCTAATTGTCTCTCTTGGTCACTCACAATGAAAATCTTAGCATCTTTAACTCTATTTGCTGATATTTGGACAGCACACATGATGGAAAGGGGGATTTCAGTTGATGTGCACATGAATGATTTGTGTTTCCTCTGCAGGTGAAGGTAGAAAGTGTGTGTGAGCTGATGTGAATTGAGCAGCATGGATCAGTGTGAGGACAGAGAGGAGGGAGTCCCTCCCTCTAAAAGCACTCTGTGTGGGGAACATGAGAGCCAGACCAAAGCTCAGAGGTGAGATGACCATCTCTAACTGTCCATGACTCTTCTCCATGTCACAGCTCAGCACTCACATCACTGCTGCATCATTATTCACAGGGACCAGCGAGGAAGAAAACACAAACATGAACCTGAACCCAGAAAGCGTGGCAAGTCTAAAAGTCCCCCCACTGATTTTAAGGTCCAGCCTGTGTCTGCTGCAGAGAGGTGAGCTGTTAGTAACATGAACTCTTTGATTTAACTGCTTGATGTTGTTGGATATAAACTGCAGTGCAAACACGTCGTTCCCTCAGTCCCATTTAAACTGTCTCTTAAAAACAAGCCTTTGGTTTCTAAACAACTGAAAATCCACTTCAGCAAACAGGAAGTGATGCTTGTGCTTGTTTTCTTCCATCAGTCATGTTGTGCTGAGTGTTGGAGGAAGCTAGAGGAGCTAGCACTAACTTTGCTGCAAAGGTTTCACTTTTACTCATCAAACTCAGAGCATCAAAAATGACTCAAACACTGGTTATTATTTTTAACTTCTACAAACTAAAGTCACTCTCCAGTTTTCTGAAAATCCATTAAATAAAAATCTAACTGTAATCTGCTAAAATGTAGAAAAGAAAGTTTCCTTTCTGACTTTGAGCCTTTTGGAGATCAGTTCATCTTCTGCTCACTGAACTGTTGACAGAAAGAGAAATTTGAAGCTGTTCAATTATGCTTTACTTTTTGTATGTGTGGGGAAAATCTGTTTGAAGCATCTTCTTACTCTGAACACACATAACTACAAATGATATCCCAAACTTCTGAATTCATAATGCAAGAAAAATATACTGAATATGGAAAACAATTTCCATCATATTTGTAGTATGAAGGTAAAACTTTCAGACACTCATTAAACATGCAACATTTGTGATTGTGCAAAACAATCAGAGGGGTCAGATGGAATGCAGCTAGTGACATTTGGAAAGCTAGTGTTCTGGTGGTGGAGGGGAGACCAGCTACTCAAAAACACCACTGTTTGTTGGAACAGGAATAGGAAGTGATACTCTACTGCAGAGACAACGAACACCAAGTTAACTTTCATGTGTAATTTACTACTCTTAGCTGTCTGTGTCACATGAGATGGTTTAACTCACATTTCTTCAACCACTGAACCACTACCATAAAAAGACTATAAAAACTGCACCAGTTAAAATAGAAGAATCATAAAGTTCTGTTTTGGCTGTAGGTCTGTATTCCACTTGTTAGTGATGTCATGAGTTCACTTTTACCTAACCTAAAAGATCAACAACTTGAGAAAGTTGTTGCTTATCAGCTCCTTCAGCTAATTGATAGAAACAATACATTTGATTTGATATCAATACAGTAACAGATGAAACCACAGGATTGAAACTGTTGGGTCTGCGCTTCCACAGGCCCCACTAGTTTAGAAACGTATTCCTCATGAAGAAGGAAACAAAGCGGAACGGTTAGCTGGCAAGGGAAACCTGGTCGGAACCAGGCTCTCAGAGCTCAACGCTCCTCACCTGTCTCCAACCGAACTTCTTCAACAAGCAGCCTTCCTCACAGCCTTTTTATTTCCATGACACACAGTTTACACAACAGTACACACAAGCACTATATAAGGCACTATGTGTGTATGTGTGTGTATGTGTGAGAATGTGTGTGTGAGAGAGAGAGAGTGTGTGTGTGTGTTTGTGTGTACATGTTTGTGTCATGGGTGTGTGTGTGTGTGACCTCCTGCTCACCAAAAGGATCATAAAAGCAGGAAGCTTACCACACAAGAAACAGATCTTTCAGATGTCCTTACAATAAAACCTCCCCCAGCACCAGGGTAGCTTGAGAGGTGGTCAGAGACAAAGGATTGTCTTTGATCCTACTGCTTGAACTAAGACTTACAAATTTAAGAAAAACAATGACAACATTTAACAATTTGACTCCAACAGAAACAGCATTATTAAAAGCAGCAAATAATATTTTTATGAGCTCAGAAAAAGGTGAATAACTACATTTGAGCTACATTTATAAGACCTTTGATACAACTGATCATATCATTCTTATTAACCCTTTAAGACCTACCATAGAACCAAGTCCGCCAGAGCTTACTTTATATTTTTACATGCTGTAGTGCCATTTTTGGGAGCATTTCAAGTTGCTATACAACAGTTATAGCTCAAATTCTAATAATATGTATGCATTAAGTCCATAGTAACTACATAAATTGCAAAAAATTGCAATAAACTACAAAAAAAAAATTGTTTTTGTTTTTTTAACATATTTTTCTACTTAGAGAAATTTAAGAGGTTTATTCCTCAAAACTTTAAATACAAAAAAGTTGCAAAAAAGGAAATTAATTTTGAGTGTCTTCATAGTTTTAATTTTGAGATACACCAATTTTTATATACTGCAGGAAAAACGAAAATAAATATTATAATGCAAATTTGCAAAAAAACTGCATATGCATCAAAATAAACGATTTCCAGCAGTGCAATTTGAGCTCTAAGCATCCCAGAAACAATACAAAAAAGCATGAAGTCAAACTTGACTTTTAAAAACACCAGTATAGGCTTATAAGGCCCTGAAGGTAAAAAGCGAAATTTTCCGTGAAATGCCATCACTTCAAGTAATAGCAGACATACGATAGTTCGCGTTGACGTCTATTCTAACGTACGAAGTGTTACGAACAGCTGATCGGATCGGCAAAGCGTGTTTCTGGAATATTAAGTTTTTGTTGCTGCAAGTGCTTTTTATGCAATTTTTGCAAAGCTTTATGTGGAAGGAAACCGTGACCGAGGACAAGCTGATGGCATAACATGTAAGTACAACTCCTCCGGTTTCATATCCAAAACAAATTATTGCGCTAGCTTACACGGTTCAGGTTCTACAGGGATTTAAAAATAGTTATGCAAAACGGAGCGTGCTGCTCTGACGGCTTTAAAGGAGACAGATTGCAAAACTGGGTTGGCATTTATGATTTATGTGTCTGTATGTTGAAACATGCATGCTTATCTTAAATGTGTGGCAAAAAACCGAAACTTAACAAATTTTTATTTTTGCTTCTCACGACCAGGGATATGTATTCAAAATACAAGAACACCATCCACAAAAGTATTCCTATCTGTTCAGGACCTCCTCCTGTTTACCAGCTAAAACCAAAGAAAAAAACGTTTGGAACTCTGACAAAAATGACTGTTGGTGAAAAAAATCAAAAAAAGACAAATAAAACCATCTTACTTGTGGGTGAAACAGGAGCAGGAAAATCTACTCTGATCAACGCTTTGGTCAACTACACGATGGGAGTGAAGTGGGAGGATGAAGTCTGGTTTAAGATTGTAGAGGAGGAGGAGAAAAGTCAATCAGTAAGTCAGACATCAGATGTGATCGTGTACGAGATCTTTGGTTTTGAAGATGAAACTCTGCCCTACTCTCTGACCATCATTGACACGCCTGGATATGGTGCCACCAAAGGGATTGAGAGTGATGTCATTGTTAGTGAAAGATTATTTGACTTGTTTCGATCAGATGATGGAGTTCAAGAAGTTCATGCAGTGGGTCTAGTGATGAAGGCGAGTGATAATCGACTGAGTGATCGATTGAGGTACATCTTTGATTCAGTGATGTCTCTGTTTGGAAAAAACCTGGAGAAAAACATTGTAGCTCTGATCACACACTCAGATGGTGTAACACCTGAAGATGCTCTTGAAGCTCTTGAAGCTGCAAAAATAAAATGTGCCAGAAAAGAGGATGAGCCAGTTTACTTCCTGTTCAATAACCAACAGAAAAAAAAGAGAAGACAGAAAGACAAGGTGGGTTTGGATAACGCATGGAGAGTATCAGAGGGAGGAATGAGTGAATTCTCAGAATTCCTGGAAAATATTGAACCTCAGAAACTGATGACAACTGTTGAAGTGTTAAATGAACGCATCAGATTGACAGCCTGCATTCAAAACCTGCAAGAAAGAATGGATTTTATTGAATTAAAACAGACAGAAATAAAACAGACTCAAGAGGCTTTGAAGAAACATGAAGATGAGATGAAGATAAATAAGGAGTTCACTATAGAATTTGATGAGGTCTCCAAAGTTAGAGAAGATATCGAGGTTGGGTGGTGGTGCTTGTTGGCTGGGTATGCAGGAGCTGTCAGCTGTAAAGTCTGTGAGGAGAACTGTCACTATCCTGGATGCACAATGGCCTGGAAACCTGCACACTGTGAGGTCATGAAAGGAGGCCGCTGTACTTCTTGTACCAACAAGTGTCCTGCATCAGATCATGTGAAAGAAAGGAAGATCTATGTAACCGAGACAAAACATGTCAAAAAGACTAATGAAGAAATGAAACAGAAATATGAAAAGAACAAGGCGGAAAGTGAGAACAAGTCCGGCCTTTTGGAAAATCTAGAAAAGGAAATGAACCAGCTGACAGCAGAGAAGTCACAGTGGCTGGAGGAGTCCTACCAACATCTTGTCAGACTGGAGGAAATCGCTCTGAATGTTTTTTCTCTGTCCACTATTGTACACTTTGAGTTATTAATTGAGAAGATGAAGGAGGAAGGAGACACAGGGAAGGTCCAGAAACTGGAGGAGATGAGAAGCAGAGTGGATGAAGGTGCCAGAGGAGCTCTGCAGTACATACTTCACATACCTGCAGTTATGAAAAAATTTGGGAAAACCTTATGGAATAAGATGAAAAACCATCAGACAGCTTTGTAGAATTTAACTCAAATCACAAGACATTCTCATGGTTTCACAGAAAATACAGTATTTCTGTAAAAATTGCATATGGAAATTTTTCACTTGCACATTTAATCAGTTATCAACTAAACATATCAGTTTACTCTGTCATTGGTAATTGGCCTCAGGATGATGAGACCAGCTACAACCCAGTCTTTGACAATTATGCTAAATGTTGTGATGAGTCCTATCTCAAAATACGTGATCACTGAATTTAGAAAACATACTCATATCCAAAAGGTCACATTCATTAAGGGTCAGACAGTGGAATGTGTTGAGTATTATAATCTAATATATCTTGGAACAATGATTGAGTGAAAACTGAACTGTGAGACAGACTGTGACTGTGTGTGGAAAAAAAAAGAAAAGAAAAAAAAAGCATTTAATCTGTTATTAGACTCAATTGGCTCCTCTCAAAATGTAAAAGAACCCACCCACCACTTTAATCACACTTTAGATCTTGTTTTAACATATGGCATAGAAACTGAATGCTACTCCAACAGAGGTCGATCATCTTGCTAATAATTTCACCTCCTCACTGCGTACGACTCTGGATACTATAGCTCCCGTGAAAAATAAGGCCTCAAATCAGAAGTACCTGACTCCGTGGTATAACTCTCAAACACATAGCCTCTATTTAAAAAAAAAGCCCTCTGTAAAGTTCACTAAAGGTAAGAGGTCACTACAGGACAAATTCCTTGATTTTAAATCTGTTTTCTGAACTTTAGACCTCAACACTGGAGAGACCAAAAATTACTTCATGGAAAAACATAGAAAAGATGAGACAAGACCCAGCTGTCCAGCTGCATCAAAAGGTCAAAGGTCACTCTTTGAGCGTGCCAATGTTCACATTAGGGATGCAACGATACCAATTTTTTCAAACCGATACGATACCGATCCTTGGATCTGAGTACTTGCCGATACCGAGTACAAAAACCGACACGTCTACCACACACACAGAAAAATGCAATGAATTAGAAGACAGTTTTTTTTTTCTGTCAATAAAAAAATCAAATATTAATAAAAAAGACCACAAAAATTAAATTTCAAGTAAAAAATAAACACTTCTCTTAAATTGTCCAGTGTCCACATTGTAAACAAACAAACAAACAAACAAAATAACTCAAGTATTTTGGAGTCTCCAGCTTTCAGACATAACATTAATGAACCTATTGCAGAGTATCCACATTGTAAAAACAAATAAATAAATAACTGAACTCTTTGGGTCTCTTTCCCGCTTTCAGATTGAAAAAATAAACACTTCTGTTCAGAGTAAAACAAATAAAACTTAGGTTTCAGAATAAAATAAACACTTTTGTTAAATTATTGCACAATGTCCATATTATATCCAAACAAAATAACAGTGAACTATGTGGCAATTGTCTACAGCTTTCAGATTTACATAACATTAATGAACCACCTATTGCAGAGTGTCCACATTTTAATCAAACAAAAAAACTTCAGTCAGCAAGCAGTGGTGTGACCTCCGAACTAAACTGTTTTTGGGAAAGTGAGAGGCAGGTTCTTTTTGATAAAAAGAATCATCTCTGCATGATCAGCTGTGAGCCTGTTTCTGCTTTCATTCACAATGTGTGACACTGAGCTGAAAAGCCTTTCACTATCTACACTTGTGCATGGTGCTGAAAGGTATCTGCCCGCCACTTTAGCCAGGTTTGGGAACCGCACTTTATTAACCATCCAGTATTGTAGAGGTTTGTCTTCTCGTAAAATTGCGGCCTCTCCAAGATATGTCTCTAACTCTACACTAGAACCTACCGCAGCTCTGCCCACCGATGCTGATGCCTGCTCATCTGCAATTTCATCAAACATGCTGTCCAAACTAGTTGTGGGCTGGTCACTGCGTGCTTTTCTTGAAGGTGGTTCATTTAGGTCATGATCCTCCTCTTCAGGCAACCTTAGCAGCTCAAGTTTTAGCATCTCCTTAGCATTTGCAGCAGTTGTGGTGCTGGAGAAAAAACGATTTTTATATCTAAAACAGAGAAAGAAAAAAAGTTAGCTGACAATTGTTTTGCTTACCATTTTTTTTGCAGTAACACAGTTACATACACAGTCATATTCAAACATACAGTCAAAAAGTTACACACAGGCACAACACTCACCTGGGATCGAGTAGCGTGGCGATGCTATAGAGTGGGTTTTCCTCCACCTCAGAGAACCGCGTCCTGACAGCTGCAGCCAAGGTTCCCTTCATTGCTTTGATCCCATGGTCCTCGTCAGTCTCCCTTGTTAGAAATCTGTGGAGCACAGTGACCGCTGGAATGACGTCTGCAGCCGTGGCATCTGAAGAGCTGACTTTTCGAGTTAACTCCTCGAATGGACCCAGAACAGATATCACCTTCTCCAGCAGTGTCCATTGGTGAGCCGTGAGAGTATCAGGGAGTCCATATTCAGACACAAATATTCCCAGAGCCCGTTTCTGCTCGATCAATGACTGTACCATATAAAAGGTGCTGTTCCAGCGGGTCTGAACGTCTTGCTGGAGCCGCTTCACAGGCTGGTTGATCTGTAATTGAATGTCCTCCAGACGGGAGCTAGCCAGAGCAGAATGTTTAAAATGTCGAACTATTTTGCGGCCAACTACCACCGCATCAGCAACACTCTTCTGTGACAGAAGGCCCTCATGAACAACCAACTGGAGTGTAGCACCCTCAAGGATTGACGTACGCACGATGTAGTTATAAAACAGGGTTTATTCTGGTCTTGGCAACCCGTGAGAACTGTTCACGGACAAAACAATAAAACAAAAACATCACATCAAAATGCGCTCTTGTACGTAGTGTCAATCAATCAAAAATCCTTAATTACAGAAAATAAACATTTAAAATACACAAACCTCGTGAGCTGACATCCAGGAGGTGCTAAATAGTCCTTTATAGCCTTATTGCCGTATCTTCCATCTTCTTTGTCAATTATTTCCACTCTTTAAATGATATTTTCTCCATGTGTGGAGCTAACTGTGAGCTGCAGCATGCAGACACCATGTGCGCTAGCAAAAGAAAAGTGGCTGGGTGGAGACCCAAACAGCAAAACTGTACCCTACACAGTTCACCACCAGAGGGCGCAAAGGAACAAAATCCAGACATACAGCTTAACAAATATCAAATGCAACAAATATCAAATGCAACAAACATCAAATGCAAAAGACCGTTACATGGAGAGTGTGAGCAGTACAAGGCAGGCTGGGCAGCTCAGCATCACTCATGGCCTTTATCATATTTCTTGGTTGTCCCAGAGCACTATGTGGACGTACGTCTTTGGTATATCCCAGGTTTGAAGCATGCTATCGAAAGCAGTTGCGATGGTTTGGCTGGTGTAGGAGCCCCTGAATGACTTTGCATGTAGAGTTACTTGATGATGAACAAACTCCTCATCAATCCACTGTGCCGTTAAACTGAGGAGCGACATCGGGGACACACTGCTTCTCCAAATGTCGGTAGTGAAGCTTAAGGCTGAAACCTCCTGCAACAGGTTATGCATGTGTTTTTTTACATCTTCAAAAAGTTTTGGCAGCATTACGTCCGTGATGTATGGGCGGCTGGGAATCTCATATCGCGGCTCGAGTACGCTGAGAAGACGGCGAAATCCTACGTTTTCCACAACCGACAGTGGCTGGTCATCCAGAGCGATAAAATGAGATAGAGCCTCTGTTATTTTAATTGCTCGTGGATTTTCTCTAGAGATTTTTTGTCGCTTTTCCAAAACCTGTGTTAAAGTGGGCTGTTCTGGTCTTGCGTTAGCCTTAGCAAACTCGGTGTACTCTAGAGCATGATGTGTCCTCAGGTGTTTGATTAAATTGCTTGTATTGAACGACATACTCTCCTTCCCACCCGTGGACACCTTACCGGTACACAGTTTGCACTCTGCCTTGCTTTTGTCATCTACACAAATTTTGAAGTAAGTCCACACTGCTGACATTTTGTTTAGCGTAGCTGCAGGAGCCGCCAGTCTCACTTGCCTAACCCCCTAGTGACATGTCCCCCTAGCGGCCAATCTAAAAAATTACAACAGAAAGTACAGGCCACCTTCTGATTCATGAAGTAAATTAGTATCGATTCATGGTATCGGTTAACTTTTGCGAGTATGAGTACACGCACATTTTATGGCATCGGCCCCGATACCCGATACCAGCATCGGTATCACTGCATCCCTAGTTCACATGTTTGACAAAAGCTGTGTCCCAAAACGTAGGCTGCATCCTTCGGAGGATCCGGCCTTCATGGTCTACATGGGCCGGGTCCTTCTAAGACTGAGAAGGTCGGAAGTGTGAGACTGTGAAATTGGACAGTCTAGCCTTCAGATTAGCGTCACCGCTGTGTCGGTGGAGTTTAATAAACTCAGCTGTCTGCTCCTTGCTATCTAAAATATAAAAGTCTTTTCAGCTAACTTTTTTCTCGACTGTCTCACACTTCTGTTTAATCAGCTTTCTTTTTGACTTTTATTCAGCTGTGTGAAAATCCCAGAGGAACCCACCCGACGGATTAATAAAGTTTTATTTAATCTAATAATCTGATAACTTTGATCTCAGCCAAGATTTCCGGAACAAATAAAACACAGAAAAAAGCCAAACAATAATATTTTTAAGTTATCTGAGTGACTTATATATCATGTTTAACCTGAGTAGCGAAAGACAGAGGGGGTCTGAAAACTGATGAATCCGGGAGTCCGTTGCTCTCGCCGTTGCGAGTGATCATTGAACCCCCCGGTCTAGCTGGTGGGTAACAGACGTCTCCGAAAACATCCGAGCACTTTTGCAAATATGCGATGTCTTGATGAACCAAGCAGATATTTGCAGTTTACACAGCTACTTTTTCCACTGAAAATATGTTAAAAGTTTATTTTGTGACCCAGAAAGATCAATAAGAGTAATTTTAAATCTTAGTAGCGGCCGCCATTGTTGGAAACTGAAATTGGCTTGGCCGTGCTATAAATTCTGGGATATGGTGGGCCACGAAGGACAC